CTTTAGAAAATCATTTTTATCAAAAATTTGGAGATCAAAACAAAAATCTCAAAAGCATGACGGGCAAAAACAATGCTGTGAAGAAATTAAATCACTTTGCATATCATAAAAAATAAAATTTCTAAACATTCATTTAAAAAATGTATCATAGATGTGCCTAAACTTCCAATTTACATGGAGAATTTCTAACAACGTCTCTCGCTGTTACAGTTTCGGTTTTTATTTCGATTTTTATTCGGCTTTTACTAAGTTCGAAATGTTTCATGTGTGTATGTATGTAAGGTTGGAATTTTGTGATCGATTTTTCACTCACTTCTTAATGCACTAGAGTTCTGAAATTTTGTATATTTATTGGGTCTTGATGACAATGGAATATTTCAATAATTTTAGAGCTCTCAATTATCAATTTTTAAACAAAAAATCGCAAAATTACGTTTGCACTCTGCAGGTTTCAGTGGCGCCATCTATAGTATTTCTGAGAACTAAAATACTTTACACAGTAATTTAAATGTTTCAATAAAAATAAAAATAAGTATATCCTATTATAGATCTCTTTAAAGAAATTATTGCTGGAATTAGTTGAAGAAAAATGGATTTAAGTTTGAAATATATTTTGTAAGGTCAGAATTTTGTGATCGATTTTTCACTCACTTCTTAATGCACTAGAGTTCTGAAATTTTGTATATTCCTTGGGTCGTGATGACAAAGAGATATTTCAGTAATTTTAGAGCTCTTTTCAAAAAAATAATTGTTGGAATTAGTTCATGAAAAATTGATCCTAAAATCCCAAAATATTTATAATGCTGAATTATGACATAAATTAAAGACTAAAAGCAAACCAGCGGGAGTGACCTCCCCGAAACTTTCTCGCATACGACCAGTAATGTGGGGTGGGTAAACACTCAGTTGGTAGGTAAATATTTTTGGAGTATTTACCAAAGGCCTGGTTATTTTAAGAAAAAATTATGAATGGTGATTTACAATGAAACATATAAAATTTATGAATTCCCAAAAACTTAATATTTTTCAAAAAAAATTGCGTACGTTCGTAACTGTTACGCGCGCTGAGGTACCACAACTTTATTTATCATTTTTGAGAGCTAAATCTTACTATAGATATCACACAAGATTTCACCATACCTCTGGTTAATCACAGGCATCCATCTGGAGAATGTCAGAATGAAGTTTCGTTTTGCGGCTCGTTAGAATTTCCTTAGTAGACCGCCAAGGTCAAACGCCAACAATACTAACTTGAGTAAAATAAGCGAAACGCTCGCCAACACACAGTCGCAATGTGCATTTTGAACTACATATGCAATTTGAGCACCTGTCTTTTAACCGATAGAGATGAAAATTGGGCACAGATCTATAATTAATGTTAGTATTCGTGATATCAAGTTTTATGTAACTAAGCCAAAAGGGTTAATGATATACAAGTATGCGATTGTACAGACCGACAGACAGTCAACCCTTTGATGGATATGGCCCAAATTTTATACGGATCTACATTTATGACGATAAACTGTGTACCAAATTTTATCCATCTAGCTAATGAAGTTTTTGAGTTATAGTATTCACATGACCGTGGACATACAGATAGACAGACTTCCCATTGACGGGTTTTGTCCAAAATTTGGTAGAAACCTAAAAATTATGTTTAAAGACCACATACCAAATTTCATGTCCGTAGCTCTAATAGTTTTCGAGTTATCGTGTTCACAGACACACAGACAGACAGACATAATTCCAATATTGTGTTTTTCAGGCTCAGGGAGGTCTAAAACGTGGAGACCACCCTGAGTCCGAAAAACATAATTTTGTAATTATGTCTGTTTATCTGTGAACACGATAACTCGAAAACTATTAGAGCTACGGGGATAAAATTTGGCGTGTGGTCTTTAAACATAATTTGTAGGTTTCTATCAAATTTTTTTGACAAAATCCGTCCACGTGAAGTCTGTTTGTCAGCGGTCATGTGAACATTATAACTCAAAAACTTGAATATCTGGATAGATACAATTTGGTACACAGTTTTATGATCATGACTGTAGGTTCGTAACAAATTTTGGACCAAATCCGTCAAAGGGTTGACTGTCTGTCGGACTGTATAATCGCATATTTGTCAAAATTATATCTCCTAAACCCTTTGGCTAAGATGAATAAAAATTGATATGACGGTTGCAAACATTAATTATAGATCTGTGCCCAAATTTCGTTTGAATCGGTTAAAAAAAGGCGTTCAAATTGCATAATTAATTTTTTAACCCGATTCTCCATGCGCATGCGTGCTGGTAGCAATCCCTGTGCACAAGGAACGATTACGTCACTTTGTCCTTGAGCCGGTAAGAGTGGAAAATCGGTAAGCATATCTTTGAATATGATTCTTCACCTACATATTTTAGAATCCCTATAATCTACAATGAAAAACCTTCTGATAGTCAATGGATTCTGGGTTACAGTAGGTTCGAATTTTTTTTATACACGCGGAGGGAGGGGAAACAGTACCTTTTTGTTAAAGTACCCTATTAGAAAAATATACCGGCTTATGAAACACCGGTTCCGGTATCATACCGGTTCCAGTATAAAACACCGGGCCTAGTGTGATACTGGTTCCACTTTCATGCGAAACTGGAACCAGAACCAGTATCAAACCGGTATCATACTGAAACCAGCATAATACTAGAATATTGATTACAGAATTGTATTGGATTAGGTACATTTATGGAGCACAGGATTTATCAAATTAACATAATTAAATCATTCAATCAAAAATGTGAAACATCAAATTAAAGAATAATAAAGAAAAGTGTGTTTAAAATTAAAATTTCGCAAATTGTGTCAGTGACTTATAGAGTGATTACATTAAAAATGTATATCAATTGTTTATTAGTGTAATGATGTAGTGCTAATTTGTTCATTTATTTAGTGTCTTATGCAAAGATGTTCGAACTGCTACAGTGAATAATAATGGAAACTTTTCAAATCATATTTTGTATATCTAGGAATGAATTTTTTTGTAGTGTTCAGAAGTGCAATGTTTTGTATATCCAGGAATAAAATTTACGAGAAAGTTTAGGGGAGACCACTCCCGCTGGTTTAAATTGACAACATTAAGCAAAAAATAAACACTACGTCTTTTTAACTTCAAGATGTTCGAATTTTATTTATTCTAAACCTAAAGTTGATTATTATCAAAACGCAAACTCTTGGCAGGAAAAATGCTACAGTGGACGCCGCTTGTAGTGATCACTTTGTATAAAATCCAAGGTGAGCAGTACATCCTAAATACCTTAACAATAATGCTAATCTGTAGGTATGCAAGGATAGCAAAGAAACCCAAACAGCACTGCATTATTGGTGCGTACTCATTCGTTTTAAATAGAAAAAAAATCAATACAATATACAGAATTGAAAAAAATCTTTAACATTTAATTTTTTAAGTTTTCTTATAAAAGTTTTTCTGCAGCACCTCAATTTTTTAACGTAGGACTACGTTCCTCCCATTGGGGTCTCAGGAAGGAATTTGATTCTCACGCCAAAACGCCACAAAAAACGTTGTGTGGGAGATCCTCTATATCTCGGTAACTACATTTGTTAAAAACATAACTAATGTCTTAATAATGATTGTTAAGTAGGGATAGTTTAAAATCAAACGAGCACTAGAGAGTTGACATCTTAAAACAAATAAACCTTCACAGATGCGGAGTGAATTCAACAACTGCAACACGCCACTATGACTGCTCCTTTTTCTTGATTGTAATTCAGTATCTGTCCGATCGAAAGCGAACAGATACTGAAATTTTTTTAGTAGCGCCAGAATTAATTAATAGCATCAGAACCAAGGGTACCCGGCTTTACCCAACTCTCCCCTTCTAAAGAGATTTCTTTTTGTGTATAATCAGAAGTACGTTTGTATTTTTATTTTGCTCGTATACTTCTTTTATTTGTTAGCTATTCGCCAGTGATTTGTTGCTGGGCCGAGAGCACTGCCACAGAGGTCCAAAATTTCCGACACCTGACATTTTGTTTAAGTTAGCACATACTAAAAGAACTGACTTTAAACTAAACAAAGGCAAACTTCCCCAAGTAAGGCTTGAACTCACAGTCTCGACATTACTTACAGATACTGCAGTATAAGTACCGCGCGCTAGCCAATTTCGCCACTGGGGACACCTCCGTGCTTCTATTGAGTATTTTGGTCTTATTGGATTATAATTTTTATTTATAGGGGCTGGCATATGTTAAATAGTTATCCATTAACGCAGAAGAAACAAACATTTTGAGATTCCTACATTCCAAAGGTTCACAAATCGCATACCATTCAGTGAAGTAGTATTCATTGAAATTGTGTCTGTTGTAATTTGAATCTTCTGCGACGAGCATACGATTGTAATTTGTATCTTCTGCGACGA